AAAGGACCTGGCAGAGGTGGAGACAAACAAACGAATGGTGACCTGGAGACAGACAAATGGATGGGGAACTGCAGACATTTTGGTGGGGCCACAGAGTGGTTTACAAATTTGAGCTACATTTAGAAGTGGAGAGATTTTATGAAAAGTTCCAGATTTTCTGTTCCTCTTGAAAAAGAAAAAGACGAAAATCTGGCCATGCTGCTGGAGCTGAGAAGAGACTGCGCCTTTGGAAGGGACGGTGCACTCCAGCCCATCACCACCAGCCGCCTCCAGATCCCTGACGTTCATGCTAGGGCAGTTGCCCTCATTCACCTTACCAACCTCATGCCTGTAGGCATTTGGATTTTTGGCCTCTGGTTAAGCATTTCTGGAAATTAAAGAGCAAGGGGGAGAAAGGCTGGCAAAGTTAAATTCACAATTGCGGGGAAATCCCCCCTTCCCCCCAAGGACAGAAGGGACAAGGGGAGGAAGCCGTGTTAATGAAGTGTGGTGAGAGCGGCAGTCCAGTCCTGGAGGCATAATTATGGGGCACCCCGCTGGTGGAGGTCAAATTCCCCACCCTCCCCCAGGCCTCCTAGTGGCTGAACCGGAAGCCAGAGGACAAGAGAACCTGGGAGAGGCAGCCTGCAGCAGGCAGCCTCCCAGGCACAGAGCAGGGAAGGGTGGAGAGTGGGTCAGGGCGGACAAGCCACTGGCCAGCTAGGCACCTGGGGCCAAGGAGAACAGGAAGGCCCTCTCCTGAGAGTCAGCGTGGTGGTGTTTTCCTCATGGAGACCCTTCTGAGGATGGTTACATCACAGGCTCTGATGCCAGCAGGTGGGAGGAGAGGGAAGGCAGAGAGGGCCTGAGTGCCCCCCTATGGCTGGAAGCACTGGGAGATCACCGGGCCTGTAGCAGGACAGAAGCTAGTATCCGGAGTCATGGAAATATTCTAGGAGAGTGCTGCGGGAGGGGGCGTCTTGGAGCGCTGTAGAACCTGGGGGCTCTTCGTCAGGAGATGGTGGTTGCAACACTGGAGATGGACCTGCCCCCAGAGGTCTCAGGCTCATGTTCCAGTTCATCAGGGGACCCTCTGTGCCCTCGTGGTCACCCAGCCTCTGCCTGATCACTTCTGTTTTAGGAAGCCTACTAACCTGGGGGGCTGCCAGGCCAGGAAGTGGCTCTGACCCTGGAATAGATCCTGTGCTGAGCTGAAATTGCCTCTTTGCATCTGGCCCTGCTCCTTGAGGCCAGAATGATGCCTTCCTATGCCCCAGCACAGTTTCCTGGAGTGTGGTGTCCTGGGCCCATGACTTCTGGATGTGACCTCATTTGCCACTGGCTTTCTGGATATACTTCTCATGCCACTCCTTCCTCCCCATGCCTTCTTTGAATTGATGGTCACGGAAGGATGGGGTAGCGGGGGGAATGGGGTTGGGGGGAATGGGGCCTCCTTTGAGTGGGACAACATATTAGAGGTATTTGGGATTGCTCTAGATTTGTTTTATACCAGGAATCAGGCTGTGCAAGTAGGATTTTATGAGCTTTGTCTCAACAGCTCTCTGAGCTAAGCAGACAGGCATTAGATGTACTGAGAGAATGAGTCATGCCCCAGGTAAAGACCTTGTACCCCAGGACTCCTGTGCTCTAGCTGAGAGTCATCATGGAGGCCCTGGTGGGGGGAAGGTGGGGAATTTGACCTCCACCAGTGGGGTGCCCAGTAATTATGCCTCCAGGACTAGACTGCCACTTTCACCACACCTTACAAAGGCAGTGGGGAGGGTCCTGCTGTTGGTCTGTTCTGGTGGGACTGGGTTTAAGGGGTGCTGCTCCTCTTCTGAGATGTTACATTTCCAGACCTGAGGAACCTCTGGGGTGTAAACTGCAGATCAGCCCCTGGTGATGAGGTGTTCCCATCACCCCCCCAGCTCAGCTCTCAACTCCCCTCCACCCCCTAGCCCCTGCATCCCCCACTGGCAGGAGAGGGGGTCCCCCATGGCAGCTATGGCAGCAGGGGTTTCCCTCGTCCTAGGGCCCATGTGCACCTGCATACTAGGGCCTACATCTTCCGTTGAGTAAATGTATCTGAAAAGAGACATTTTTCTCCCTCTCCTGTTTCTTTTTCAGCATGAATGTCATGCTTTTATTCTCAATTGCAAGATTTGTTTCCTGAAAAGCAATGCCCATCTGAGCATAATCTCAGGTGCCAGCCATCTGGCACCCCTTACTGGCCCCTATTCCACAGTTTTCTCCCTTCTCTGCCTTAGATGATTCCACTTGAAAGGAGGCCAGCCCTCCATGTTACCCCAGGGGGTCACATCTGCTGGATAAGGGCTATGTAAGCATCTGGGAGAGGGGTTGCCCTGGGTGGGTACTCTCAGCTACAGGTGTCCATCCTCTCCCATGCCATCTGCTCCCCAAGCCAGGGTGCAGTCAGCTGGGATTGGATTAGAATCACTGGGAGAGATTTTTGACAGCTGCTCATACATCCTATAATACAACTGATCTGGGGCTAGAGACAACTAGCTTAGTAGAACAGGCAGTGCTAGATCCAGCTTATGTGACCATGGGTACATCACTCCCTGCTTCTGGAGGTGAAAGGCTGTGGTAGAAACCTCAGGGCTGGTCAGAAGCAGAAAGTCTGCAGGGAGCAAACGTGGAAAAGGGAGAAGACTGTTTGTGCTCAAATCCAGGCAGGTGCAGGGCCAGGAGCTTTCAGTTAGAAAGATTAAGCAAGACTAGATCACACTCAACACCCCCAAACTGGGCCAGGCAGGAGTGAGGACCAGCAGGCAAAACAAGGTCTGAAGTTTGGGCCAACAACATTCAAGCAGACTAGGCCTAAACAGTACAGACATGGATTTAAGGTGGCAAGTGCATCTTTTCTGGATGAAGAGGGAGGTCTGCCTCTGTTCAGAGTTCATTGGTGTTTTTCCCTGGGAGTGGGCCTTCCTCCCAATAGCCCAGAGAGTCCAGAGTGCCTGATGAGGACCAGGGGCAGCCAAAACACCTGTTCTGGCAAGCAGGCACTCTTGGCAAGAGAAGGACTCGGGAAGCTGGAGGAAGGGAAGAAATGGAATGAGTAGAAAATCCTATGGGTTAGAAATAAGGCCTGGAGGGGCCTCCCTGGTGGCACAGGGGGTTAAGACACAGCATTACAAAGCTATCCCCAGCCACTGCAGCATGAGTTAGATCCCCAGCCAGGAAGCTAACCCACCTGGCACAGCAGACCTCTCTTTGTCTTGCCCCTGCTCCCCTCAGCAGTGTATTTCAATAGATCTGCCTGTACTGCTCCCGACTCAGTCTCTGGTGAATCCTCTCACCTCCTGCATCTCTGACCTGCACCCCAGCTCTTGAATGCATAAATAAATCTTAAAAAAAAAAGAAATAAGACCTGGAGTCGGCGGCAGGTGTCTCCCTCCCTGTCCTAAGAGGTGGCTAAAGAATCTACTGAGGGACAGACACTGGCCTGGCCATCTGAGCATAAGAAATTACCTGGGCTTCCAACTTCCTGGCAGTTGGGCCAGCCCTAGGCCATCTGGGACCGGGAGAGCAGGCGCCACATGGTCATCCCTCACTACAAAGAGTTGAACCGTCATTGGGACCAAGGTCTTAGGCCACTCAGCAACTGTTTCCCTCTCTGCTGCTTCTCCATGCAGTTCTTTCTTTTTTTTTTTTTTAAAGATTTATTTATACAATAACTGGGATACAGGTCAGAGGCACGGGAGGGTGAGAGGATTCACCAGAGACAGAGCAGGGAGCAGAACAGGCAGACGGACGGAAAACACTTCTGAGGGGAGCAATGGGTGAGACAAGAGAGGTGTGCCGCACCATGTGGGAATCTCTCTGACTGGCTGGGAATCGAACCTGTGTCGCAGAGGCTGCGGATAGTTTCACAGAGCAGCGCTCAACCCACTGTGCCACTGGGGAGGCCCCATCCATGCATTTCTTGATTGTTGCCCAGATGAGGGCCTCACATGGGTTAGAGCCTTAACCATGGGGATTCAAGTGCAGTGAGGCCTATAACATCTGGGTTGACAGCTTTAGAACCATTCCTTACAGATAGAAAGTGGGCAGTGGGATGGGGGTGGGAGTGTGGCAGGAGATGGGCAGGGTTTTTTTTTTTTTCACTTCAACTAGGCTGAGCAGAGAAGATACAAATATAGGCCTTAATCCAAGACCAGGCTTTCTGATGGCTATTCACTTTGAATAGGACTAAACTGTGCTTAGCCTCTATAAAGCCTCTCCTGAAAACTGTAGGAAGCCCAGCCTTAATTTACCCCTTCGATGAGTCCCATAGTGCAGTGGTTTTAGAAACTGAGCAAAAACCAATCACCTGGAAGCGAAGGGTATGTGCGACACCTCTGGTGTTTAGTAGTGTGGTGTGGCGTCTGAAAACCTGGATTCCTAAGAGTTTTCCAAGTAATGCTGATGCTGCTGGGCCAGGGAGCACACTTGGAGAAGCACTACTATGAACACATTCTCTCCCTTACAACTTCATGGTTTGCATTTTGATTAGATAGTCCAGAATTGTTGTCGGCACTGTCTGTGTTCCCATCCATGTCTCATTCCTTTGGGTCAGGGATCGGTGTTATGTATCTTCCTCCCTAATAGGTAGCATATTGTTGGATACAAAGTAGATGAAATAATTAAATATCAGGAAGCATTTCAGAGAATTCGGTTTCTTTATGAAGATAGGGATCACTAAGGGCTCAATTTTAGAATTCCCTTTTTTTTCTAATTTTTTCTCCTCCAGACTTGCAGAGAAAAATCTTAATTTAGTTCAGCAGTATCTTAGTCTCATAAAAAAAAAAAAAGCTGTAGTCTTGATTTAGGAAAAAAAGAATTCATTCCTTCATCCTTCCAAATAAGGTACAGTACGACTGAACAACAATGCACATAACTGTAAAACACAACTGTATTTCATATTGCTCACTACTCTTTAAATAAGTATAATTCAGATATTAAGGAAAGAACTGCTAATCACATTAATGCATTACAGAAATCAAAATTAACTTACCACAAAATAAATTAAAACATTAAATATTAACCTTTTCAGTGCAACATATACAGAAGTCAGAGTTACAAGTTCTAAAAAAAAAAAGCATCAGGTTTGTTAATAAAGATAATGGAAATTGAACACTTCAGTAAGTTATTACACCAGGAAGAGGGTTTGCTTTTTCAGTACTTTACCACCAGATCTTTCAGAAAGCTGCGTAAAATCAGTGGCTGGAGAGAACAGGTTTAGGTTGGAACATTAAGAGCAAACATGTATTTGTCTTATTTGTGATGTTCCCCTGGTCCTGGACTTTCGAATCATCTCCCATCCCCTGTCCTCTGCTCTACTGAGCAGGGTGGGAAAAAATCAAAGCCTAGACTTTGACAAAGGGGCTGCGGCCCCCAGAGCAATGTTGGAGCCTCCTTGATCCATTCCTGCCAAAACTGCCGGCAGAGCAACCAGTGGGTCCAAGTGTACTGAGACCAGCTGACCCTGGAAAACCCAAAGTTGATAGACGTTTCTCTCCACCTGCAGAGAACACTCTCTCAAGAAGTTCTAGAAGCACAACTTCTTCTCCATAACCAGTGTGGGTCATGGAATAGCAATCCCACCTCTTCTCTCCTTTAAAACAGACTCTGGGTACACACTACCCACCTCCTCTGCTGAGACACAATGGCAGGTTCCTTGGGTCTACATGTGTCCAGATGCATTTTTCAGGTCAGGGTTAGCTGCTGTCAGTCTTTCCATATAGAAGAAAATGTTTTTGCCAGTGTGCTTGAAGAAGTCACAACATGTCGAGGAGAATCCAGGCTCCGTAAAAGAAGTGGAAGCATACCCCCTTTTTTAAAAATGGGGGATTTTCATTTCTCCTGAGATATACATCAGAACAGCTCTGTCCCCATGCCCAGGGTGGGACTCTTCCCAAACCTCGGGAATGATACCCTGATCATAACAACACTTGGCTTTCTAAGGGCAAGGAAGGAAACACAGGGACTGACAGAGGTGGGTTAGAAGATCCACTTTCAACCCCAAATGGCTTATTTTTACAGAAAACCAGAAAAGTACCAGTGCCATAAAATGGTACCAGGATCCAGTGCTGTTGGCTGTCTGATTTCTAAATGAGAAATCACCAAAGAAGGCTCTCCCACCCCAGGGTGTGGACAGTGGTCAGTCAGGCCTGCCTTGACTCCAGCCTCCCCTTCCAACTCTTTTCAGTCTAGTTGGTATATAGAGGACTGCCATGGGAGGCACTTCTAGGAAGCAAAACATTCGAGCCAGTTCACTGCGTGGTTGTACAGGCACAAAGAAGGGGGCACTGGCAGCTGTGATTTGCTGGACCAAAGCATTTATGGACACTAAATCTGAAGTCCCCATAAAAAACCAAAGACTTTTCTTTGCTTCCATCCTCCTCTCCTTACACTTCTACAAAGGCCCTTGGATGTCCAAAGACTGGACATTGGTCCTGCCATCTAGTAGGTGAAAAAATCTCAGAAAACATTTTCACACTAGATTATACTCTTTACAGGTCATCTGACCTCAAATAGTCTTTAAAAGACTGGGGAGAGATTGTCTTAAAGTGAAAATGTGGTCTCAAGTTAAAAAAAAGTGACATAACTCCATTAGTCTCTCAAAACCAGACTCTCGGACTTTAAGGGGGGTCCAATGAGAAAGACGAATGCAAAGTGGGGTTTACAAGCCAGTGTCGATAGCACTGGACGCTGAGCAAGATGCTACAGTTAAGCCTCTGCTGCTGCAGGACTGGCCTAGGAATGCAAATTAAAATCTATTTTCTTTTATAATGAAAACCTGGGAGCTGTGTCAATTACCTTGCCAGGGGCCAGCTGGTGAACAGATCCATTTCTGATCTTTATGTTTTGGTGTGGCATCATTCAATGAAAGTGCCAAAATTGAGATAAGGGTCATATAGTTGTCTCAATTACAAGGAATACAGAGAAAATTCACAGAAATAGACAGGAGAAGAAGCATTAGGGAAGGACAAAATTACCTGAAATTTCAAGCCCATGTGATCTTTTTAAAGGTCCCTTTTGACAACGTGGGGAGCTAGACGCACTGAAGGGGAAAAGGCAGAAATCTCTCATTTTTCAAGCATCAATGGATAAATAGTTCCCTCACATATGGACCTTACAGATCACTTCATTCTTATTCTGTTTCCAAATTTTAATGAAATTTTCTAGGGAGTTTAATCACTGTTTAGTTGGAGGGAGCCAGTACTTCCTACAAGCAGGCCCAGTGGGTCAGAATGTACCGAGAGTCTCAGGAGGGCAATTTCTCTTTTTCTGAGGGGAAAGTGAGACCCCACACAGTGGAGGAGGCTTGTTAAGAGTTTTTGTTCATAAAACCAGCATCCTGAATGGAAAATCAAAAAGTCACTGGAATATTTCTCTTAGTGCCTGAAAATAAATAGGAAAGTTAAAATTTCTCCCTTTACAAATAAAGCAACAAGTTAGCCTAGCAACGACATGGAAAATAAATGCCTGGTCCTCCTTTCATGGATGTGGCCCCAAATGCCCATGGCTCTCTGCTAATGCCATTTCTAAATGGCCTCTTGGGGGCTCCCTAGGAAGTGAATCCGTTTAATCATGGGGCAGTATAGTAGGTGTGGTGTTCACTGCGTGTAGACACACACCCAGGCCATTGCTTCCTCTCTCCCCCAACAGAGGTGACACCTCTCTGGATTTACTGACTTTTCCACGGAATCTATCCAGAGACATTTCCCTGCTTGGTGTCTAAATTGGCAATCTCTGAACCCCAATCTTTGTTCCCTTCACCAACTCATCCTCCGCTGCCATTTCTGTACCCCTGGGGGACTGTTCCCAAGCCTCAGCTGTCCTGAAGAGGCCAGACACCTTACAACCAGCAATACATACATCATTAACATAGAAGTCTGAAAGCGTTTTATGTTTTTTACACTGTCTTAAGAGATTAAAAATAAACCATCATCCATCTAATAAATAAGAAGTTATCTCCGAGGGTGGTGAGTGCTTGAGAAGGTCTTTAGTGTCGTGTGTCTGTGGAAGATGTCGGCTGGTTGAGGATCTGTGGACAGTCAGACACGCTCTTCTTCCACTTGAAGCCTTCATGTTAACGATAACCGCGACCTCTTCTCCACCTTCTTCCCCAGTAAGTGGATGGGAAACAAATGTAACAACTATTGGAATTTCTGGGCAGGATGGATATGTAGTAGGGAGATGAGGAGAGAAACGCAGCTTGGCATCCGTGACAGGCAGGAGACAACTACACACATCTGGATGCAGATGCCTACTGCTGTGCACACCTTAGCTAGGTAAACAGTAAGTCCACCCTCTGCAGTTCTTTGGGACCAGTCTTTAAGTGGTGGCCCACTGATTTCTTCTCTAGGTCACACCAAATAACCCCAAGCAGACAGAGTTCATGACAGATTTGAAGGAAGGCCCACAAAAGATTTAAAGGCTGGAGAGCTGGCGGCAGGCAGAGGAGGAAAAACCTGCTGGCACGGCCTAGACATCCCTGTGGTGCCAGCCCGAAGTCCTGTCTTCATCAGGCTGCACATCCGCCTGACTGAGCTCCTTCTCCAGGCTCCTCAGACCACTGGAAGGAAGGAAAAATAGGGTAAGCTCTGTAGGCCAGACCTCAGTAATGCTGGGAAAACAGGCTTGGGACAGAAACCTGCGGATGCCTCATGCAATGTCACCAGGTTCTCCCAGGCAGTCAGGTCTAAGTCCAAGTTCTGCTGGTTCAACCTTAGGGGCAGCAGCTTCTGAAATTGTGCTTTCAGCACCAAAGGAAAGACTTATGGAAAGAGCAATGAGTTGTGGCTGAAGAGAGCAGGGGATGCACCCCCTTGTGAGGGCCTTCATTCAACTGAAGGTGAGTCACCCCAGCCTGTTGTCAGTCCCCCATCGTGGGTGGCTGGGTGGGTGGCTTAGGAGCTAGTCCAGGGCTTGAGTGTCAGAATGGCTTCTCTTAAGGCCATACAAGAAAGGGTCCATTTCTCAGAGGGTGGGGCCCAGGGCATCCTCTGTGGTTGTCTTGGTGAGTCCAGCACAGACACTCTGGTCCCTCCCATAAGTTCTCTGGAGCTGGAAAGGGAGCACCCTGGCCCGGGGTGAATCATGGTGATTTTAGTCCAGCCCCGTGGGTTAACCCACCTTTTAGGACCAGCAAGTCTGGCAGATGCAACATGAGGTCATGTAGGTATGCACTGTCTCAGGGAGACGGGCTTCAGCCTCAGCAGCCATCTCTGGAAGGCCAGAGTCACCCCATGCTCAAAACTAACATCCTCTCAAATGTGGGTAGAAAAGGAGTGGCATTAACAAGAAACTTACTCTGCTGGGAGAGGTCAATTTCTCAGGGGAAAAATGGTGAACACCTACCACAAGTCCACGTTCTGTGATGTTCTGTGCCGCCTACCACACCTGCTATTTATGTCAATTTGCATATAGTTTAAATATGAAAACGGAGGCTCAGAGAGGTTAAGGAACCTGTGAAAGGTGACAGAGTCAGTCACCAGTAATAATAAAAGAGCTCCCTTCTCAGTAAAACACACCTTAGGATAAATATCTGTTTCCTTTTCTCCCTTCTTCCTGCTTCATCCTCCAAGAACTTGTGCCCTGACCTGGGGGAGGTAGTCATTTCCTCACCTAGTAGCATCTCCTGAGGGAGAAGAGGCCCCTCTTCAACGTGATCCTTACCTGTTTCTGAGTGGCAGCAAGCAGTCCTTCCCTTCAGGAGGGCACTGGGCTTCTCATGCCTGCAGATGAGGGCCCGGCACCAGTCACAGTGTTTCCGGACCTGGCAGCAGCTGCGGAGACACAGAGAAGATGGCCTGGGCGAGAGTCTAGTGCGAGTACCCACCTGGCAGTGTGGCGTCTACCTAAGGGGCCTGATGGGCAGCTTTGGGCTCGAAACCAGCCTTTCCATGGGGGCCTCTGGAGGGACAGACACAGCAGGGCGTGGGGGACTTTTCGGGGTGGTGGTCTTTGGGGCAGATGTCAGCTAGCAATGAAACACCTGTTGGCTATCCCAAAGGACTAGCTCCACTTGTTCAGTCCTGCTCCTGGCTCCCGGGGCAACCTGGCCACCCACCTGGCTGCCTTCTCCACTAAGTGGCAGTTGGGTAACACCATAAATATGGTAACAGCCTCACCACTGCTGTCAGGATTGGGACAGAGCAGCCACTCAGGCTGGAAGTGCTGGGACTACTTGCGGGGAATAAAGGGGTCGCTGTTTTATGTCAGCATAAAACAGGGATCATGGATGAGCTGAACTGACCCATGAAGAGAATTGAGTCATGAATCTCAGTGGTGTTGAACTAGTCTCTGAGAATAAACATTCCCCAACTGTGGCAAGCCCAACCTCTTGGTGAACCTGCATTACCCAGAGTCTGGGTAACACATCAGGGTTATGAATGTTCCTGCCTCCCTCTGTAGGCAGGAATGAACAGCTTGCAGAGTTAGCATGAAAAAAGAATTAGGGAACCCAAAAGTAAGGCAGAGAAGAAGACACTGAGCAAAACACCAATTACCTAGAGACATGGGTGACTGTTTTCCTTGCAATGCCATGGAGAGCTTCATTTCTAATTCTAACTTAAAGGTATATATAATCTAGGAAACCACTGACTGGGGCTAGGGGGAGTCTTTGACTGATATGAGCCTGAAAACAGAGATGAGGAAACAAACCTGTTCTCTGTTTCCTCTTGGTGCTGGTTGGCATTTCAGAATCCTTACCCCATACCCTCTCTTGGCATTGCCCTGGGAAAGTTACCAGGGAAGAGCTGAGCAGAGGCCAAGAGACCTTCCTGCTTCTGTCACAGGTGACCAATGAGAGGCCAACATAGTCTGCCTGGATATGGGGTCCTTCTGAGTTGCAGAGTACAGGTTGTGGCAGCTCATCCCATGCTGGAGGGGTCTGGAGGCTTTTGATCCAGCCTTGTGAGTGACTGCCGATTGTAGCCAGTCAGGAACATCCTGGAGCAGTGGAATCAATGATTCTAGAACTCTCTGGCATGGGATAAGCTGGTCCCAACCACCTGTGCAACTCTGGAAGGCTCCAGGCCCAGGCAATCAGCTGCCTGGAGGGGGTGAGGGCTCAGTCCCTGGTTCAGGGTTTCTGAGCTTGGTCTCTGGCAAGGATGGGCTGAAAAAGGACAGAGAAGAGGTGGGACTGGCTACCTCCCTGGGAATAAAAGAAGTTGTCTAGGTATTCTAGATTGGTCCAGGGAATCTGGCAAAACCAGCTTTTAAGTCCCTCTATAGAGGCCCATGTAGGCAACTAGTTTTTCTTCCTAAAAGATCCTCCTGGCCACAGAAACAGGACCACAGAAGTGACAGGTGAGCACACACAACTATCTGGCCATGAGAATCACGGCCAGCGGTCCATCAGGTTGCTTCTACACTCCAGGGTGGGTTCTCATGAGTGGTAGAGCTGGCGAGGCCCCAGCCTGAACCACGGGCGCTTGTCCTCTACCTGCAAACATGTTTTCCTAAGATACTGCTTAGGGAGGAAGGAAAGACCAACCCAGTTCAGATCGCATCCCTCCCCACTAATGCAAGCTTGCCCAGGAGAAGGATATGATCAGGCCTGGCTATTGTCAACAAGCTGGGGTTCCTAGGGACACTCTGTTTGTGACCAGAACCAGACGTGTATGCTCCAGGTACCCCAACAGCAACAAACCAATAGACAGGACAAAGATTCTTTTATATCTGTCCAAATCCTAGGCAAGCTCAGAGAGTTAATAGGTCTGACTTCCTGCACTGACATGCAAGTGCTTACTCCAACCCTTGCCAAAATAGTCCCTCACTTACTGTCTGTACCTTGACTTAATCTACACGGTCGTTAGCAGTTCTGTGAATTTTTATGCATATCCAATTTATACCCAGGTATGCATTTCTGGAGGGTGTGCTCTGAGACCTAGATGCCTTCAGATATTATCAAGAAATAAATCTGGCCAGATATTGGCAATGTGGCCTCAGGTACTCTCCCTTTGCAAAGCAGTCCAGTTGGGAGATAAAGGGAAGCCAATAGGTTAAGAAATACCCAAAATTGGTCTCTGCTGGGCTAGGGCTCAGGAAGCCTTCTGGAAGATGAAAGGCAGAAACTGGATTTTGGAGGATGAGGAGGGGCAGAGAAGCAGAGAAAGGGGCAGGTCTGTCATCAGCCTGTTGTAAGAGTGACAGTGACCTTTAAAATGGCATTACGGGGCCTCCCCGGTGGCGCAGCGGTAGAGCGCTGGGTTGCGCAGCTGCCCGCAGCCTCTGCGGCACTGGTTCGATCCCCGGCTGCTCCCCGGCCACCGGAGGAAGGTCCCACATGGCGCGCAGACCTCTCCTGCCGCCCGCTGCTCCCCTCAGCAGTGTACTTCGGTCCTTCTGCCTGCTCTGCTCCCCGCTCTGGCTCTGGTGAATTCTCTCACCCTCCCGCGCTTCTGACTGTACCCAGTGCTTGTATAAACAAAACAAACAAACAAATAAATAAAAACATGCCTCTATTTAAAAAAAAAATCTTTAAAAAAAAAAATAAAATGGCATTACGATTTGCAAAGTGTCTGCTGCTTCTGCTACTGCCCAAAGGAGGCTGGGAGCACGTCCAGCTCTTTCTGGGGCCTTTTTGCATCCCCATCACAATTCTGAAGGCTCTGAACTAATAGATCACAGTGTCTGCTCTATACTTGGATTCTACACTGGCTCCTGCAGCACTGCTGGATGCGTGCCCTTTGTACAGCACGGCTGTCATTAAAGCTCTATGTGGCTTTACTGACAGCAACCAGACATCACAGCAATAAAATGCTGAGGGGACTCTGTTATCTGGGCATGGAGCAGACGCCCCTGGCCAGGCAGGACCTCTGGGGCAGCAAATACTCACTGTATTAGCACACATGCAATGATGAGGACAGCCAAGGCCACGATGGAAACCACCACCAAGGCGGTGATGGCCTGCTTCTTCTGGCTGGCTGCCACCACGGCCAGGAGGTCTGCATGCTCACAGCGGGCACCGACGTACCCAGAATGGCAGCTGGGGAAGAAAGGAACATCAGCATTTGTAAGGTCAGGAAGACCACAGTGCAGGTTTTCTGATCCAGCAGACCGGGTAAAGGAGGAGTCAAAGTCCTCAGTGGCTTTTGCAGGTCTTTATTTCGATTACTAGGCACATGGCAGGCAGGGGTGCTGGGGCGCCGGGAGGCTGGCAGTCCTCCCAGCCCCCAGCAAATCCTCACTCTGGGCTCTCTGGCGTTCTCTCTGCTTCCGTTCGTTCTTGGCTTCTGCTGGCATCCCCATGACACCGCCCTTAAAAGCCCAGTCTTAGCCCAGGTGAATCCCATCTACCTATGCCCACACCCTATTCCAGGTGCCCGCCATCAGGCATGCATTCAGGACTGCAAGGATCCATCATTTATCCTGATGGAGGGTGGGCAGAAAAACCTGATATTTTACTTACCCTACAGCATTACTCCCAATTCCCCAGGTCTCATTTTCCCAATTCCCTGGAAAAGACTGGGCAAGCCCCAAAGTGCCCCCCCCCCCAGTCTTTGCAATTGGAGGCAAAGGTGTAAGAGTGGCCTACTTCCCTCACGGGCGCCTCTTGCCTGGAGAATGAGGAGTAACCGACCAGCCTGATCAGCTGAGCATTCATTATTATCGTTACTATGACAGCTCTTCGGGGAATAAAGAAGACAGCAAACGTGTATATGGCATGAAATACATTTGGCAGTTCCTAAAAAGAAAGGTTATTTTTAAACCAAATGTGTGTATTCAGAATTTTTGATGATGAGAGAAAGAAAAACACGCTCAATCAGCGGGAGACATAGGCTGTAGTTTGCTTTGTTATCTTCAAGTTCAAATAGTGCTGCCAGTACTTACTGGGTGGCCCAGCCCAAGGGGCACATACTGAGGTAGGGCCAGTGCCATTATCTGGCACTTGTAGGACTTGAAGCCACTGAATTGTGGAGCCTTGTGTCCTCATTTCCAACCACACTGGCCTCCACTGGAGGACTGTAAGGGCATAAAAGAATGTCCCTGAGCACGTGAGTGGTCTGAAAGGGCAATACCCACCCAAGGGGTATCATTGCTGGTACTGCTACTACTCAGGGGTGCTTTGGTTAAAAGCTGATGCTGTTTCTTCCATCTCCTCTCTGCTAAATTGCACACTCTACCCCCAATTCTGGGGTGGGTGCAAGTGGTTCTCCCATGTTCTAGCCAAAAGGAAGTGGTGACCTTTTTCTAATGCAGGTATTTCCCCCTCCCAGCAAGTCTGTTGATTCTTCTCAATAGACTTAGTTACACAGGTCCCTTTGTATGGGGTGAGTTTCCTATAATGAAAATGTTTGATCACCATTTCCTTCTCGGGAGAGCTTCCTTCCCACAGGAACTTCCCCCATCAGCCTTGCAGCAGGCATCACAGGCAGGATTTAAAGTTTTGTTTTTCCCTCCAGACATGGCAATGATAGCTAAACTATTTTTTTTGAAGGAGTTTACCTTTTGATTAAGTAGCCAGCCTGTCACTTTCACTTTTAAATTAAAAGGTCTTTGAAGAACAAGGAAAAATGAAAGGAGGTGAAGGGTCCTGGAGGCTCTGCTACTTATCAGGGTCAGCCCCAGGGGCATTGCATTTGTGATTCCCCCAACCCTGTGCTCCTGGGCTGTTAGATTCCAGGTGCCAGAAGGGTACCTGGAACCATAGGATAAACACAAGGTATTTTCCAGAGGCATCCATTTTGCTCAATATTGACAACAATATAATCATTTTAATGTTAAAGGGACAGGCCCTGAATGGGTTTAAGATTTACGGTAACAAGAGATGCTGACAAATTTGCTGCTTAAGGCTACAACCTGGGATACCAGACAGAGCATTTAAGTTCTGTCTTTAATGCTACTGTATGGAAAAGTCTTTCACTAGCTCTCTTTATCCCAAAATGCAATTGTTACCTATTAATATCTTAAAGGTGTTTTAAGTTTGAATTCAGGTACTTGCTTTTCTGTTAAGGATTATTTTATGTGTAACATACATTTTCTCATCTAATACTTGCACAAAAAGTCACCTGCCTGAAGTTACCCTGTTAGGGAATAGAGAGAAATTCATACCCAGTCCTGCTGACTCCCTAAGTCTGGGCACCCTCTCTTTCCCCACTCTCCCTGCCAAACTGCAATGGGGAGGTGAATGGCACAGATTAGACTCTTGATCAAATGTGGCTTTGGGTTTAGTCCTTAATCTTAAAAGAGTAAAAGATTTGAGAGTTTTAGCTTCAATAGCGTGAAAGGGTTTGCTATCTTTGGTAAATAAGAAAGCTGAGGAGGGCAGTGAGGAGGGCAAGTGCCAAGCAGGGTTTGCTACAGATCCAGGGAGAAGAAAGCAGGATCCAGACAGAGGAGGAACAAAGCAGGAGGTGGGGGGGTGGGGGAGAGTGTCTCTAGCAAGATGACTTTTTTTCAGGTTTTTTTTTTTTTGCTTTTTAAAATTTTATATATATTTTACATCATTCTTTCTTTTTGTACAATGTTTGCGTTCCTTTCTCCTCTCAGGTGTAGTCCCTATATAATTCCCACCACCAATTCACCCTTGCACCATCACCATAGTCCCTTGTGCTCTTCCTCCCCTGTTTTGATCCCTCTCTCTCCCCCTCCCCTTCAGTGTCCCTGATTTATAGTTGCCCGTTAATTTTGTTTTTTAAGTTTACTATAATTTCTTTTCCTGATCTCTTATTTGGTTCCCCTACATTCCTCCTGTAAGTGAAACCATCTGATATTTTTTTTCTTTCTGGCTTATTTCACTGAGCATAATCCCTTCGGCTCCATCCATTTGCTGCAAATGGCATGAATTTATCTTTTTTGATTGCTGAGTAATATTCTACCGTGTATATAAACCACATCTTTTTTTGTTTGTTTGTTTTGAAGATTTATTTATTTATTTATACATGCACTGGGTACAGTCAAAAGCACGGGAGGGTGAGAGAATTCACCACAGCGAGAGCGGGAAGCAGAACAGGCAGAAGGACTGAAGTACACTGCTGAGGGGAGCAGCGGGCACGGCAGGAGGGGTCTGTGTGCCATATGGGACCCTCGCCAGTGGCTGGGGATCAAACTGGCGCTGCAGAGGCCCTGGGCAGCTTTGCAGCCCAGCGTTCAACCGCTGCGCCACCAGGGGAGGCCCTAAACCACATCTTCTTGATCCGGAAGATGACTTTTCTTGAAAAAGGATCTGGATCACAGACACTGAGTAAGAACACTGACCCACAGACTTAGGCTAGGAGGGAGAAGAATGGGGGGCTTGGCCCAGGGGCAGGTTGTGTTTTTTTTTTTTAATGATATCGCCATTTTAAGATGATTTTTTTTTTTAATTTATTTATTTATTTATACAAGCATTGGGTATAGTCAGAAGCGCGGGAGGGTGAGAGAATTCACCAGAGCGGGAAACAGTACAGGCAGACTGATGATACACTGCTGAGGGGAGCAGCGGGTGGCAGGAGAGGTCTGCGTGCCATGTGGGACCCTCACCCAGGGTGGCCGGGCATTGAACCGGCGCCGCAGAGGCTGCGGGCAGCTTCGCAGCCCAGTGCTCAACCGCTGTGCCACCAGGGAGGCCCGGGTTATGTTTGTTTTTAAATACATTTTTATTGTGGTAATATTGGTTGATTACATGTTTTGGGCACACAGCATTTATAATTCTACATCTGTTTAAACTACATCACGATCACCAAAGGTCTAGTTTCCATCTGTCACCACACAATAGACCCCTTTTTACCTATCCTCTTTTACCTACCCATTTTACCTACCCTCTTTTATGGTTTCATATAAATTTTAAAAATATTGTTGGTATTCTGATGGGGATTACATTAAATTTATATATTACTTTTGGTTTATATAGTATTTAAAAATTCACATTTGTATATTCTTAATTTTTTGAGGAATCTTCATATTATTTTCTGTAGTGGCTACATCAATATATATTCCTACAGACAATGTATGAAGGTTCCCTTTTCTCTACATCCTCACCAACACTTGTTTTTGCCTTTTTGATAATAGCTACTAGTCTAAGATGTGTGAAGTGAGAGCTCATTGTGGTTTAGATTTACATTTCTCTAATTATAAAGTGATAAATATATTTTCATGTGCTTATTGGCTATCTATATGTCTGCTTAGGAGAATTGTACATTCTGCTCACTTTTTATTTTATTAGTTGTATAAATTCTTTATGTATTTCACGTATTAACTTTTTGTTGGATATATGATTTGCAAATATTTTCTCCCATTCAGTAAGTTGGCTTTTCATTTTGATGATGATTATTTTTATGTTTAGAGCTTTTTAGTTTGGTGTAGTGCCATTTGTTTATTTTTGCTTATCACTTGAGTTGAATCCACAAGACATTTTTTTGCATGTGGTTGTACAGTTTTCCCAATACCACTTATTGAAGAGACTTTCTCCATTATTCATATACATGTGGATTTATTTCTGGATGCTCAATTCTTTTCCATTGAGCTGTGTGTCTTTTTTATACCAATACCATGATATTTCGATTACTATAGTTTTATAGTATAGTTTGACATCAGAGAATATGATACCTTTATTTTGGTTCTTTTTTATTTGGAATTGCTTTGGCTGTTGGGATATTTTATGGTTCCATACAAATTTTAGGAATTTTTGTACTATTTCTATGAAAAATACCAACTGGATTTTGAGAGAGATTGCAAGGAATCTGCTTTTGGTAGGATGCCATTTAAAAAATAATTAATTATTCTAATCTATGATTACCTATTTAACTTTTACCAATTTAATTTTATAGTGAGTCTTCACCTAATATTGTCAACAGGTTTTCAGAAACTGTGACTTTAAGTGAAATGATGTATAACAAAATCAGGTCCTCAAGTAATGTCATTTCCTTCAATGTTGGTCAGGATTCTTTTCATATCATCTTTGGGGCAATACCTAGTTCTACAAAACTGTTGAACTATTTGAGCAGAATGGACTGGGGAGCCTGAGATTTGGGATGAATGTTAAGATTTCTAACCAGAACTAAGTCA